CTAATATATTAGGATTCTAATTATGCCACAGCATCTCAGGCAATGAGAATCGTGTTGGTGGCCCCCACACAAAGATTTCTCTGTGGATGAAATAAGGAAAGTGATATGACTTCACACGAGGCATCTGAAAATCACAGACAAGATCCTGCTAGGAAAGAAAGTTCCTAATTTAAACTTTTTTAGGAAATGAGGTTTCCCCTGAAGATGTCATTATTTATTACATTTTCCTTTTGAGGGCATGACATCTACTTGAAGGATATGAAAGGGTTAGTTCACTTTCCGTGTGCCTTAGCTCTTTCCTCAGAAAATGACCTTGAATTGCCTGGAATCTGGCCTTACACGATTCACTGTCAAGACTAGTGCCATGTTCTCAGAGGTCTTCTAGGTATCACTGCTGGAAAGTAGGCAAAGAATGGAGCCTTTAGCTTGGAAAAGAAAACTTGTCTCTGTCTCTTTGTAGAGTAATTAAAGGGCTACAGGGTAGAAGAGGAGACATTACATTATTCCCTGTGGTCCCCAAAGCACAATTCAGGTCCACTGAGGAAGGCTATGGGCAAGTCTTTTTCTACTCAGACAGTAGATCTCTCTAGAAATGGGATGAACAGCAAATGAGTTCTGCCTCCCTGGGGGTGTTGGGTGGACATTTATTGAGGCCATTGTGGGAGATATTCAGGACCAGGCAGAATTTAATGATCTTTCTGAAATTCCTCTTGGACCCCTGGTGTTTTAGGCAAACCAGGCAACCATGATAGAAAGGCAGGATGTGTGGGTCCCCAGAGGTCAGGAGCCTGTGCTGGCTGCTTGTTGCCAGGCCACCCTCCTAGAGCAGCTGGGTAGGTGCCACTCAGGCACAAAGCGTGACTTTTGGAAATGAGACTCTAAGAAGTTTTCGTAAATTCCTGTTCTTTGAACAGGACTTTGTTTTTTGGGAAATAGACCAGAGTGGTCCATCTGGGGTCATCATTCTGGACAACCCTGCTTGGGGGTTTAAAAAACAAACACCACATGGGCTTGACTATGAGGGATGAAGGTGGTTCTCTTGGCATGCCCATGCACTCAATATCAAATAGGAGACAGCTCTTCAAAGTGCCACTTTCCAAACGTGTGCAGGTATGAAAGCATCGGGGGAGGTTGCACTCAGGGATTTTTCAAAGATTAGTCTCACACTTTTTAGCTATGGTGCTAATTTCTAGGCGAGGGATTGTTTATTTCTTAGGATAAAGCATTTCTGAGGCTTCTGAAGCCTCCATCCAGCTTCCTTCACTGGAGAACTCATCACATGCCGTGGGAACCTTAGAGACCAGCAGGGCGGCCTGGCCTGGCTCTGGGGACCAGCTGGATCCTTTCATCTACCCTGACCCTGCCTCTCCATGCCCTGAGGAGCCATTTATCTGCTGGTTCAGTGACACAGCCCTTCTGGAGGTCTCTACCTGCTTGGCATGTGTTCACAGTTGGACAGCTGCTGAGCCGGCCACGTCCAAACACCTGGGAGAGGCTGCCTATTTGGTGGCATCTGGGGGCACTGAAGACACCATCTGCAGTCCTTTGTAGGAGGGACAGACCCTGTCTGTCCTCTAAGAGGGACATGGCTTAAATGACAAACTCTTCTGGAGAGAGAGTGCACTGAGAAGTGAGACTAGAGCAGACTTTGGTAAGTGGAAAGAGATCATTAGGGCAGATGACAGGGGTGTCAAAGGGGCAGGGAAAGAGACCAGGCAGCTGCAGACAAGTGTTGGAGATGACATCACAGCTTTGTTTTGAGTCAGTCCTGCCAAGTCCCTTTAGACAAAAGCAGCCATCAGGCAGCCTTATTATAAAGCACCCAGAATAACTCTTTACTAGTCAAAAATCTCTAGAATGCAGGTAAGCAGCAGGTGTTTTTGACCTGCACGGCTGTGGCATGGAAGAGTGGCTACCTCCCTTCTAACATTTTCCCTTCTTCCTGGTATCAGCCTTCTGCTTGTTCTCAGTTGGGGACTTGGTTGGGATGAAGTGTGTGTTCCAGGCCTGGGATAATCAATCTCTCATGATTTTCTGGCCCTAGCAATTGGTTCAGGTTGGCAGCAACAATAACATTCAATGATACTTTTGCTGGAAGAGCCAGACTTGAACCTGAAATGATGTGAAGCTCAAATTCTTACAGCCAAGCCAGTGCAGGACAGAGAGAGCAGAGGGCTGGAAAGAACCAAGTCCTGATGGCATTGCTTGCACTCTGAATCCAGCAGAGCCTGAAGGCTGATCTTCCACTGGACATTTCAGTTATTTTTTTTAAAAATAAGTTTTGTTGAAAGCATCTGTTGTTTGCCACCCCAAAGCAGCTGGAAAACAGGGGCAGGAGTTAAGTGGGGCAGTCGAACGTATTGATAGAAATTGCAGGATGCTGAGTTGCTTTCAACAGAGTTGTCTGAAGAAGATACAAGCTTCCTCAAGAGTGAGTGCTTTTTTAGTGGTAGGATTTGCAACCTGTACAAGATGATCTCTTTGAAGGGACACTATAGAACATATGCAAGTTGCAAGTGGAAGATTGAATGGCACAGCTCTTTATATCTAGTGTTTTAAAGTCACTTAATTACTATAGCAATTAAATCAAATGTCCTTTCAAAATTTCTCTCCAGATATTGCCAATACAAACAAGACATAATAAACATAAAATGGCTCAAAGATTCTGATTTGTGATCCCCATAACAGACCCTGGTGGGCACTGCCACACCTAGTTCCCCACAACCAACCTAACCTTGGCTGACCATCTGCAGGACTTGTGGGCTCCCATCTTCTCCAGGACAGAGATGGATTATGAGTCCCAGCATCCAGCACACAGCTTTGCTCTGTTAGGACTCGGCAGGTTCTTACAGGTAAGTGATGTCTCAACATCAGGGGTTCTTGTTGGCATCCCTTCCTGGAATATGGAGGTCTGGAAGTCTCAGATACAGGTCATCAGAGTTCACTGGGTTGACATAAGCTCTCCTAAACCACTTTGCCAACCCAAGGGAATCCAGTTGTGCTCAGAGTAGCTGCTGGGTTTAAGGTACAGATCAGTCAGAACTATATGTTTCCCCTTCAAGTCTGCCCTCTTCTGCCTGCACTTGACAGTCTGTGTGCCTGACGAGATCCAAAGTCACTCACTCAATTTTCTATTCATTGGATATTCATCAGGCACCTACACTGTGCTGGTCATGGGGTGTACAGTGATGAGCAAAGCCGACACAGCTCCTGCTTGTGGGGTTTACAGTATGGTGTCCCTTCCAGGCACAGCCTGTTAGAATTGGGATCTGGAATGTCCCTGACAAGCTCATTTGTTGAAGCCATGGTCCCCAATGCAACAATATTCAGAGGTAGGACTTTAGGAAGTCTTTGGATCATGAGAATTCTGACCTCCTCAGTGGAGTAATCCACTGAAGGATTAATCATAATTGAATGGGCTATTGAGAGGTGCTGGAAATAGTAAGGGGTGGGACCTGGGTTGAAGGGAGTGGGTAGTTGGGAGCATGCTCTCTGGGACCAAATCTTATCCCCACCCTTTCCTTTCTCTTTCTCGACTGTCAGGTCACCATGAGGTGAGCAGCTTGCTCTGCCACACCCTCACCATGATGTTCTGCCTCATCACACGCCCAGGAACAGTGGAACCAACTGACAATGGACTGAAACCTCTGTAACTGTGAGTCAAAATAAATATTTCCTCTCTTAAGGCTATTTTTTTCAGGTATTTTGTCACAGTTAAGGAAGGTTGACTAACAGCCTGGAATTCTCCCCTGTCCATCCCTCTCCTGCCATATCTTAACTCAGGTACTTAACTCAAGTACAAGGGATCTGTCATGTCTTTCTTTTGGAGGCAGGGTCTGTTTGCCTTTTACTGATGCCAAAGCCCATCGATGGCCTAAGGTCTTCTTCCCACCTGCTCCTTCTTTTGTCCAAGACCAAGAGACAATTCTTCAATCTCAGGAACCAGTTTCTAACCTGATCCCTGCTCAGAAAAAACCCAGCTGGATCTCTCCTAAAATTTGGGAAGGCCTGGACTCTTCAGGAACCATTTAATGGTTATGATTGTTGTGAGTTTTGCATTTTAACTGTTTATTTGGCTTTTATTTAGTGAAGCCCAGTTCAAATTTTAAGATACATAACCCTGACAGATGATGGCAAAGCCAAGCCAAGACCTAGTTTGGCTCTAGCTTGAGGCCACCACCCCAGGTCACCGGTGAAGGGTGAATTTTTGGCACTGACCCTTGAGGTCAAGGACCCTGATTTTACCTGCTGCCCAGCTGCTTAAATACTGCATCAGCAACTGACCTGGACCAACTGCACCTGCTGGGCACAGGCAGGAAGGTGCCAAGCACTCTCCCCGCTGCACTGCCTCCATTTCTTAGCACAGCCACAGCTCAAAGTTGCTGAGGACAGGGGAGAGTGATTGTGGGAAAAGGGGATTCCCCTCCCCAGGGACCACTTGGCGCTGGTGCATGGCGGGAAGCCAGGTTCCTCCTTGCCCTCAGTCCTTGCCAGGGCTTTGGCACCTAGCCTGAGAGCAAAGCGACACCCGTGAGTGATCTCAGGGGGCTTCTGGAAAAAAAAAAAAGTAGAAAGAAAGGAAAAAATTCACATTGGACAGAGGGCGCCAAGGCTGCCCTGAGACGGAGAGAATCCCCAAGCTTTCTCGTATACTACATGCCCACGTGCTTGCGTGCAGGGGGCCAAAGACCGAGAGCCAGAGTCGGTGGTAGAACCAGGAGACGCAGAGGGGCCGCAGGCAAAGCCCCCGCTACGCGCTGCCCGGGCGGGGAGCCCAGTGGCCGCCCAGTGGCGGGGGAGTGTCGGAGCGCAGAGCGCGCAGGGGCGGCGGCGGGGCTTCCCCGGGCTTCTCCCCTGGCCGCCAGTGCACAGCGTTGGCCCAGGACGCGGAGGCGGCGCCTGGCGCGAGGGAGCCGGGAGTCCCCGAGGCGCCCCTACTGAGTGCGCGGACGCGGGGCCCTAGGCAGCAGTGCAGCGTCCCGGAGCCCTCGGCCCGAGCGGGTTTGCCTGAGCCCTCCCCGCCGCCGGTCCGCCCGCCCCCGCCCGGCGCCCGCCTCCCGCCCCCGCCCGCGGCCTGGAGCGCGCCTCCCTCGCCGCCCAGGGTTGGCGAGCCGGCGCCGGCTGAGCTGCGGGAGCCGCGGAGATCACCAGCCGCCGCTGCGGGAGCTGCTCTGGCCACACCATGAGGGAGCTGGCCATCGAGATCGGGGTGCGAGCCCTGCTCTTCGGGGTTTTCGTGTAAGTAGTGGAGCGCCGCTGGCGGGGCGCACCGACGCGGGGGCCCACCGACCGAGCCTCTCTGTGCCCCAACTTTCTTTGCTCTACCGCGTCCCCCGCGGCCTGGGTTCGAGGTCCCCTGCACTCCTGGTGTCCGAGATCTGTGATGTCGGACCAAGAGAAACCCTTTCCTCTCCTTCCCGGGACCCTCGACGCAGAGAGACCCTCGCGCGCCAGGACTGGGACCTGTTTCCTCTGTCCCCACCACCGGCCAGGGAGCTAGTCCGGCCGCGGGTCCAGCCCCCTAGCTGGCGCCTTTTCCTGGCCCAACACCACCTGTCCCGGGTATTTAGGCTGCTGTCCTGGACTAGAACGCGCATCGTAGCCCGCGCCCTCGGGAAGTTTCCTCCCTTTCTGTGATCTTTCGAGGCCGACGTTGACGGTCTTTGCTCTTGGCCCCATCTCCCATTGCCCCAGGGCCAAGCTTGGTCTCTTTCTGTGTCCCTGGCTCCACCGCCTCTGGTCCTCCTGAGCGTCTTCCCTGGAGGCGCTTGCGGTACTTCTCCCGCTGGAAAACTGTTGCCGCCCAGGCTAGGGGAGGCAGGGGCTGCAGCCAGCATGTGGGCTAGAAACACCCCGGAGCTAGATTGCAGTGGATGTCTCCTCCGGGTGCCAGGCAGAGGCCCTTCAGGGGCGGCAGCGAAATGCCGGGAAGGCTCTGAGCGCGTGGCACCTGGGAACGGTGAATTTTAAAAAGAGGAGGGGGCGCTGGCCCAGCTTCCTTCAGAGATGACTGAGCTTCCTCCAGGCACCCAGGTACCCACCTCTTACCTCTTACCCACCTCCAGGGCCCAAGCAGCAGGGAGCTGTCGCATCTCTCCCTTTCTGATGGGAGCCTTGACTCCAGCTCAGACTCACCCGGCATCACCCCTTCATCTCCTGTCACCTAGGCACCCACATCTGTATCTGAGGCTGCATTAGTGGATCAGGGTCTATATTTCCGTATGCCCAAGGATGTTTTCTGACACATTTTAAACATTAAAATTACATGAACTTTCTGGATTTGCGGGTTTTTTTTTTTTTTTTTTTTTTTGAGGGGGAGGCACCAAAACAAACAGGAGCCCTCTCTTTGGTTTTCTGCCCCAATCGGGATTCATTCTTGGCAGATGTGCTGTGTCAAAGATGACTTCTGTTCCTGCAGCCCAGGGTATACACCTGGGAAAGAAATGCCTTTTCTTGTATGTGTTTCTTTACTGAGGATTAAATTCATCCAGAGTGTTTATTCACACCATCAGAAAAGGCCATGAGCGCCCCCAGATGCAGGCAAGCCCCCCTCTCCTGCCTTCTAACTGAACACTAGTGTTATTCACTGGGAGGAAGGAACAAGAACTTCAGTTGGGTCTTGATGCATTTGGAAAAACAAAGCACTTTCCCCTCTTCTTACTCTATTTCTCTACCTTTGGAATAAACATTAAAACTAGTGATTGCTCTGTGATCAGATGGGGACAGTTTCCAGTTGGCAGATAGACTAAAATCCCATTATGTGATAGAAATGATAAAATAGTGTTCAGTGCACGGTAAAATGTAACATTTGTTGGGTGAATATATGAAAAATGCTTGAAATAAAGCAAAATAGGTACTTAGGCTACTTGCTTTGATTGCTGCTAGGAATTTGCCACTAAAAAAAGCATCCAATAATCCATAAAATATAATGTTTTCAAGTTTCCCTTTAAATATTCCCCCAAATATTTATGAAATGTTTGCTGGTGTACAGTGGCCTGTGCCATTGAAACTTGGTAACGTCTGTGTGCCGGCTTCCTCCAAGGGTGTTATGTAAAAACCAGACAGGCAGTTTACAGTCTTTTCTCCAAAGTTCTGTTATGCTTCTTCATGTATCCCTTCCCCAGCAGGATACACATGATGGCATTTTTGGATGATTCATTGCGTTTCATATCAAATCAGAAATGTTAAACAGTGTCCAACTGGTGGCTTTGACCTGTAAAGATCAGCTCTGGCACTGATGTGAGCTCCCCACAGGGAGATGTTCTTGTCATCGGGCAGATAATGACTTCCGGAAGGACACTAGGAGCACAGACACAGATGACCCCTTGTTTTCTCAGATAAGTTTCTGGCACCTTGACAAGACCCGCTTTGGGGGAAGTTGTGCTCTTCCTTTTGCCAGCCCTGGAATGATGGCATGATTCAGTGGGGTCTCCCCACCTCTCTTCAGGAAGGTGGTAGTGTCTGCAGTCTGGAGAGGTTTGGGAAGTCCCTCTGGGCAAGTTGAATCTGACTTCCCTGCTACAGTGTTCATATTAGCCCATATAATTTATCACCTATTTTGTTTCCGTGTTGTCTACCCTATTTCCCAGAATGAGAGACTAGTTGTTTTTTGGGGAAAGTGTAGCCCACCTCTTTATAAGCTCATGTTCTGCAAAAACCTCACCTGTATGTGGGGGCCTGCTCTCTCAGCACATCTGCCCTGCCTGGGAGCAGGGATCCCACATCCTCCCTAGAAATCCCAGTTTAGAGCTAATGAAATGTATTTCGGACTCACCAGTAGCAGGAGTGGAAACTCTCTCTTGCTGAGGAGTTTTTTGGTAGCAGATCAGGTGTGGCACTGAGATTTTGTGCATTCACAATTCTCAGAGGAAGCTCTCCCAACAACGCTCAGAGATGCTTAGTGCCTTTCGGGCAACCCTGTCTAAGGACCTCAAATACCTGGGAAGAAAATTAGTAAATAGCAATGCAGATCATGGCTGGCACACAAACTTTACCCTACCTGGATATGCATTGATTATAGGAACCCAGTATTTAGGAAACATTAAAGTACAATGTGTAGCTTTGAGGCTGCGTTTAGTACGTTGAAGCTTGTGGGCCTTGAGGTCCATAGATCTTATTCAGTAATTGGGGCAGAGCAGGGCAGGGAGGAAGGGCAGCCCCCAGGGGTCCCTCTATCCTGCTGTCATCTAAGACCATAGGAGAGATTCAGGATGCAATTCCTTAAATCCCAAAGACCTTGCTCTGCAGCTCTGAGGTGCTGGTTCAACAGCCCTGAGGCCAGGGGTACACTATTGCTAGTGTACTGTTCACCTGTATTACTGACACCAGTGCAGTAGCTCCTGGTCATTGAGGGCTTGCTACCTGTCGGGCAGTAATGATGGCTATTGAATGGCATTTAACCCAATGAATGCAGTATATTGATGTCATCATGGATTGAAGAAACCAAAGCTCAGTCAGATAAAGGCAGTGTCTGGGTTACAGAGCTTATAAGGGTCTCTCTGAGATCTAAATTCAGATGCTGCAACTTTCTCCTATAGCGAGAAAAGTTGGATGCTTAGCCACCTTGCTATAGGAGAAACAGCAGCAGCCTTGGTCAGTGGAGGGTTTGCTGTACACACAGAGCATCCCAGGTAGCTTCTCTTTGACGCTTCACCTCATTTGAGGTGAATACTGCTCAATACCCCCACCTCACAGGTAAAGAAGCCAAGGTTCAAAAAGGGTGTGTACTGTGCCTGATGGTGCTTGCTCAGCTAGCAGGAGATTGAACTTGGATGCAGAACAGGCAGTTTACTGTGTCCCAAAGTCATCAGCCACTGAGGAAGGGTCCAGCACCAGGCTTCCAAATGGGGAGGAAAGTGGCCACATCCTGAAAGTGATCCCCTTCTGTGAACTGTTCCCTCCAGAGAAGCAAGTGCACATGACTCAAAGTAATGCATTGGCACAGATGTTACTATGGCTCTTAAATCAAATCTTAGGATGGTACTTCAGAGGTAGAGGGATGGCAGTAGTGGTTCAACTCCTGAGCTTTGGGTACATCCCAGAGTTGGAAGGGAAGACATGCATATGTTGCTGATAAGAGCTTAGATGATCATAGCAAAGAGCTAGGGGCACATGCTCACTCCCTCTGCTTTTGGCCATTGCACCCAGGATATCAATTAGTTCAGACAGCCTTACCTTCACAGCACTGTAGACCTTGGAAGGATGATGACATCTGAAAAGCTGGACCAGGTGGAGGTGTCTGCCTGTTTCACCTGCCAACTGGGGTTCCCTGGGCTCCTCTGTCTGTAGGGTCCTTCTTCCCGACAGCCCCTGGTTGCTCTCTGCAGCATCCTTCCTGGAGTGAGTCTTCTCAGGATGCCTGATGCTCAGGTAGAGGTGTTTGCCTCCCATCAAATTAGTCTTGCATCTTTCTTTGATTATGCAGGAGGTGTGTGCCAGGTGCTGGGGGCAAGAAGAGAGGAAGCAGGTGCCTCCAGTGAGCTCACACTCCAACAGAGGGCTGCGCGATGGCCCCCTATGTGTTATTTGCCCCTTATGCAATCACTGGTTTTGAAACTTTTACTTTCTCTTTTATCATCCATCCAGTGGACAGAGCTTTATTTGGGTCCTTCTAGGCGCCTGCTCATGTAGTATTTTCTTTCTCCTCCATGAGCACACATTGGTTGGTGGAATTCCAACAAGACACAGGGAAACTTGGTACTTGAACTGGTCCAGATGACCTGCTTCAAGTCCAGATGACTTGAAGGCACTGCTTGTTGGGTGTTTGAAATATTGACAACAATTAACAGACCTGTTAACTGCCCCTGGGGAGTTCAGTCTGGACTCCAGGTGGTAGCTGGAGCAGAATGCTCAGTTTTACTGGGAAGGAAGGCTGACTAACCCTGGGAAGAGGAAGAAGGGGACAGGTGCCAGGGACAGCTGCCTGGAAATGGCTTACCTGAGTCTTGAGTCCTGAGTATCAGGGCCTGGGCTCAAGGACATTCCTGCAGAACACAGGTCTGAGGACAAGGAGCCATATTTTGGATGGGGATCCATCTGCTCCCCAGGTGTGGCCTGGGACTGTGGATTTCAGTGTTGGGGTGGCAGGAAAAGGGGGTCTGGGAGGAGAATGTGGCTGCCAGGATGTGAGGTGCTCCCCTGCAGGCGGTAACCAGGAGGCCTGGAGATTTGAACCAGAAAAATTGCTCAGGTATTTGCCCACTGGTAGAAAGGGACCATTCTTTGGGGGCACTCAGGCC